CTGCCATTATTTGGCGCTTATTGATTATTTGTTAACATGTTCAATAAATACTTCTCTGACCAGACACACTGTTCTCAGTGCTAGAAAGTAACATTGAGTCCTGCCGTCAGAGAACTCAAGTACTAACGGGGACACAGATGTCCATCCGGGGATGAATTTGCCTAGGTTCTATTTCTCGATGCTTTTCCTGGGTGGCTGCTCCCCATTCAAAATGGGTGTTCTGTGAGGCCAGGCTCTCCTCTACCTGCTGCATTAGCATGTGCTCCACAGGAACTAAGGAGCTTTAATTTAAATATCCTGCTAACCACCAAATTCCAGTCTACAAAAAGAAATATCTTTTAAATATGGGCATTTTACATGACCATATGTTAAATTTTAGAATTTCTACAAGACCTAATATTTGAGTTTTATGAAATACGACATAAACTTATTCAAATAACAGGTTATACTACACAAAAATTTTTCAATGTAAAATCAAACGTACATTCTGTCCCATCCTGCATTTATAAAAGTTAGAAACTGAACAACAACCCAAATCTTTGAAAATGTCCGTTTGAATAAAGAACCACCATTTCAAAATGGTTTCCACAGTTAATCGGTGTCCCCAGGATTTAGTAAGTCAAGGGAGAAAGGAAAGTCAGTTGCCCACAACTGGGGAAGAAAATTTAAGACTGAAATGTATGTAACAGAAGATAGCAAATGAATTCCCAGTCACATGATCCCCTCCATGTGTCCTCAGTAAGAACGACCATGACCATCCGAAGATACAATGACAACTGCAGCAGCAGAAGGAAGAACAGTCAATCCTAAGAAAAATTTTAAAAACTGTGGCCATCCTCTCTGGCCAAATTACAGGAAGTAATAGAATATAAAAATATAGGGATCACTTCACACTAGCGTATTTAAGATTAATCACTTTGCTGTGCAAATGCAAAATTTTATAAGAATCACTAGATAGGAAATTCTATCTATTTTATTATTGATCATTTAAATAGAAACCTTAAATCGGACCATCTCTTTCCATAAAGAAGTCATCTGCACATTACAGCAACATAATCCAACATGTTTTTTTCTGGGCAGCAGATGCTTTCTATGGATGGGGGCTTCTTTCCTCAGGATCTTTGTTTGTTAAGAGGAATAATGCATGATATATTTGTATCTCAGAAAGTTTATATCTTAAACTTCATTTATTATTTCTACATCACATCCCCAAAACTATATCTTCTTCAGAAGACTTAAGTCTATAAATTTTTTGACTGCTTTGGAAAAGATATTACTCTGTCTTGACAGATTCCTAGATTTAAACAAATCAGCCCAGAACTAGAAGCATATCAGTCTAAGGAGAAATAAAGGCTGCCTCAGAGTGGGGTAAAGACTTCATGAAATACGATGAACAAACGTCTTCAACAACATCACGTGTTAGAAATCCTTCAAACTTTTAAAATATTTTGAGATGCAAAATTTTGAAATAGATAATTGACATACTGTGCAAATTTAGAAAATAGTAATTCATCACCATTGCTGTCACAATAACTTTTCAGGAATACAGTAATGCCACATAAATTAACAATTAATATGCTCGTAGTTGAGAAGAAATTCACTATTCCTCCACAGAACTAATCTCTCTCTTGTACCTTTATTAGAATTTAAGAACTTGAAAATATTATTAACACTGTCAGGAGATTAATAAATAATTTGCTGGTGTCAAACAACATCCCACTTCATGTTACCATAGTTATAATCTGTGGAATAGCATTATACAATTTTTTGACCTTTCGCTGTTTAATTAATGACACAAAGTTCATTTGAACGATGTAATTCGTGATGCAAATATTACTACTGGTTATGGAAGAAAAAGATCACAATGCTATTGTCAAGGGTAGATGTTGTTTCTACAGGTCACCAAACACAGAAACAATGGCATGGTCTGAAAATATGGACACACTCTTAGCCAATGAAGGTAAGATCCAACTAATGATAGGTTTAAAATATACTAATTAAATGCAAATAATTAAATCCTGAAAGTCACTGATATATTATAAAATCTGAGTTTGCGCAATGTTTGAAGTATAAGATTCCTGACAGTCATAAATTTATAAAGGCCCAAAGTCTGAATGGAATTAGGTTGGGCCTAAAAGAAGATGTTTGTA